GAGGAGGAGGAGGCGAGACAACAGGTGAAATGCAGCAGAGAGGCTTACATTCTCCGGTGAGCGGACAAGGCAACACTGGACAAAGTTGCGGAAGTTGCTGGAATACCGTTCGGGGAGTTTGGGCGGAGGGTTGCGGGGGATGTCGAAGAGGACACGCATCGGGTGCACATCAGCATTGGGCGGGGCTCCCTCGGCCAGTTCAATAGCGGTTATGCCCAGGGACCAAATGTCCGCCTGTAGAAGGCAAGCGGAATTACTCATTCAGGATAGCAAAAAAGTGGTTCTTAAAACTAAGCGACATGGTGTCTTTGTTAGCAAACACACTTAATCGACCGCGAACGGTTCCGTGATTCAAAACCTTTATGTTTGCCCAAGTCAAACCCCAAGTTAATCGGGTTCGGCCTGCATTTGTGAATAAAAAAATCCGGGCTGCCCAATTTGAGTAAATAAGGCTGAAAAGCGACAACTTTTTAACAAAACACATATTTGGGTCCTCGTTTTTTTAAATGGGTCAGTTAGCAGTACTTGCAGCGTTCGTTCTTCCCAACGAACTTAAAAGCAACAGACCTACTTGATATTCTTCGTAGTGTTGACCAGTGGAAAATGTTCGCGGGTTGTGTAAGTTCATTATTTTGAGTAGTCCATCGTAAGACGTCTTCCAATTACAGCAGGCAATTTTAACAACACTGAGTGGGGAAGTACCGATTGGTCGCACAGCTTAAAAGTGCGCCGTCCTCAGCTCAGCCGAATTGCGATATCGGCAGTTCGAACGCCGACACGTAAAACTTTTTCCAATTCCCTGTTATCCACATCCTGCCTTTAAAATGTCCTAGCTGAACGACAGTGGAAACTCGAATACCATACAAGGAGGTCGCATGACATACGAAAAAGGTGCACGTCACTTGACTGCAGGCCCGAAAATTCCATATTTGTGCAGAACACAGACAAATGAGGGAGTCGCATAGCGATGACAAAGACGAGAAACATTCGGACAACAAGAAAGACATGCACAGAAATTAGTGGACCAACCTTGTCATCATAGGAGGAGAGTTTGATGACCTCGGGAGCCATCCAGAAGGGAGTGCCCACAAAGGTGACCCGTTTTTTGGTGGTTTTCGTGAGCTGACCAGCGACACCAAAGTCAGCCAGTTTTACGTCCCCGTTCTCTGACAGGAGGATGTTGGCGGCTGGTGGTGAAGCAGGGGGAAGGAGAGATGGGGAAGCAACAGTTGATTAGGGAAAAAAGATGATGACTACGAGGGCTACTTTTTGGACGTTGAAACAGCAGAGTCCAGCCCCTCATGCAAGTATTAGTGGACAGTTTTGACGCGGCGAAGCGGACGGCGTGAGACCTCTATCGGAGGCCACGCACAATCAGCAAAAAATGGCGTTAAAATGGCAAAGAATATGCTTGACTGGCCGGTAAAACCTGTGTTCCATCGAAAATTCAAAAAGGACACAAACACAGACAGACTTGTGCCTCGACCAAGGGAGTCCCTCTTAGAAAGGGAAGGCAACAGCGGAATTCATCAGACCGGGCGGGGGGAGGGGGTTGACAAAAAGTACGAGCTCAACACAGATGCCTGATCGGCCGAGCCAGTCACGGCAATGGGGAAGGGCTCAGGAGGATTCCGCTCAGTCGAGCTACCGCATGTCACTAGCGTGTGCGTGGCCGCGTTTTTGACAAGCTTAACAGCAGTGAAATCCCTTTTTTTATGGTGAACCCATCGTTGAATCAAACGTCCAGTGACAAGAGAGATCAGAATGATCACATCTGGCTTAGCTGCCCTTATCAACCACCGATGGCCAAATGATATGTACTGGGTCGAGTTAATCACTGATCCTGCCAGTCAGATGAGCTACCAGTCGCGATCGATGCATAATTCTTCAGCAGGCTCAAGTGCTCCAACCCTCCCCCCCCCCGGCCCAAAGCAGTAAATAATGCCAGCCGGATTTCAATTCTGCACACGCTAACCCTCACTGCCGTTACGCTGGCGTCATCGCAGCAAC